CTGCCGGTTGCGTTGTTTTATGAAAGGAATTAATGAATGCCGACGATTGATCTTAGCCATCGACTTTTCATGGAATTAATTAAGTAGTGCAATTTTGCAAATTTTCATTTTTGGTCGAAATTTTTCAAAGGGTGGGGGTCGATTTTTTGAAAAAATAAAAAATTTTACATCATTTTCAGCATCACTCATTGAAAAACATGCTAGAAGTTTCAGATCCGAAATAATAGACATTTTGAGCATTTGTTGAGATTTCACGATCTTTAGCCGACGATTTCTTCCTTATTATTGACCCAAACACTTTATAAATGCCTATTTGTCACCTTCTTACTTCGAAAGGAATCGATTCGGCTCAAAAAGCACGCATGTGAAATTTTTATTTTTGATCGAAATTTTTCTAAGGGTGGAGGTCGATTTCTTGAAAAAATGGAAACTTTCTCAAAATGTCTTAAATTTTACATCATTTCCAGCTCACGGACGCGAGGAATGCATAGAACTAATTGAAAAACATGCTAAAAGTTTCAGATCCGAAATAATAGACATTTAGACTCATCTTGAGCGTTTGTTGAGAGATCACGATATTTAGCCGACGATTTCTTCCTTATTATTGATCCAAGCATTTTATAAATGCATATTTGTGACTTTCTTCTCTAATCTTTCTTCTAATTAAAAAACATGGTAGAAATTTCAGATCCGAAATAAGACATTTTCGGCACATTTTAAGCGTTTTTTAGCGTTCACGACCTTTATCAGACGGTTTCTTATTATTGACCCAAACACTTTTAAATGCATATTCCTGACCTTCTTACGTCCAAAGGAATCGATTGAGCTCAAAAAACACGCATGTGAAATTTTGAATTTTGGCGGGTCGGTTTTTGGATAAAATAAAAATGTTCTCAAAATGTCTTAAGTTTTACATCATTTTCAGCTCACGGCCGCGAGGAATGCATCGAACTCATTGAAAAACGTGCTAGAAGTTTCAGATCCGAAATAATAATTTCAGATCTGAATATATTCAGAGCCCATTTCGTTCCAAACTATTGCAAATAGAAATTTCCATATAAACAGTGAATGTGTCGAGAATACACTTTGCGAATAATCTGATATTCTAAAACGCAAGGAAATTGAATCGAAAACAGTAGTACACTTGTTGAAAACAATGATGAGATGTTGCAAATGATACAAAACAAGCAGAAACTTGCACTGGAATGAATAGAAAGAGATCAAAAACTATTGGTACTGTACAATGTTATTATGGCTGCGTTATTTACCAGCCTACTTGGGGAAAAAAATATTTATTCGAAAATGTACAAGTGGTGCGCTAATTTTTTCCACCAGTGTAGTTTTAGTCAAGCGTAATATCAACCGTAGTAAATACCAAATTGCGGTTCACACTCTGTACTCCCACCCAGCGGGCGTGAAGGAGCTGGTTGATAAAAGATACAAGCGCTAAAGAATAGGAACCAAAAAAAAAACAATCGTAAACATTTTAAAGGCCTTTTATTGTTGACGCAATAGTTACTGATATACAGATATATTACTATATAAATAAACTCTCGATTTCAATAAAACAATATTAAATATGACTAAAAAAAATACAAAATCTCAAAAATGTAACTCTTCTAGTAGTAGTAGAATTTTGTAAATTATGGAATGCAACAAAAATACATTTTATGCGGTACAATAGGACAATCACGTAAAACAGCTAACGAAGAAACAACGGGATTTTTCAACATTTTGTGGCGGCATATAATATTTATTTTCATAGTTTATATCAAATATATATTGCCTATTTAAGACGTTAATGAAATTATATTTTTTTTATTACTTGGTTCGTAAATGTTGACGAGACGACAGGTTCGCCTCCTCCTTTAGAAGTGATAAAATCGCTCGCAAATCTGGCTCTTTTTAAAGGAGGTCCCTCATCACCAGGATGGTAATCATCAATATCCGGTTCAATAAAGCCGTTCTTATTGTAAGTTCCTCCAAATCTTGCGAGGTTGATGTCTAAAACCTCGCCACTTTTTTGAGAAATTAAATTTCTCATTTTTTCTATCACTCTGCTACCATGTTCTGTAACTAATATATTTCCGCATGACACATCAAAAAAATTAATACCAGCTATTATGGCCAAACCATGCAAAAATTACTCCTAAAGAATAAAGCCATTAAGCGAAATTTGAAAAACTTACTTATGTTATCCAAAGTGAAGTTATCTACCCCATGGACTTCATCGCCGAATTTGTTCACATATTCGGGATCGTCATCTTTAAATACTAGGAACTCCTCCATGTTCAAATCATCTTCTGTTGCCTGAAGATCACTAAGTAGAGATCGCCTAATGCCAGCTTGCTCATTCACAGTGGACATCTGTTTGTTTTGAAACAATCGCATGTTGGGAAGCGATACGAGAAGTGCAGAAAGCAAAACAACCATTAGGCATGTCGACGGAGTCGCTTTAGACGTTGAAGACTTGCAAATTAGTGCTTGTAACCGATTCACATGGGCAATCAAAGTACGATTCTGCCTTTGCAGTTCACGAACTCTTTGCAACAGATTTTTGTTTTCATCGGATCCTCGCTTTACCCTGAAATAAGCATAAGTACCGAACATAAATAACGTGAGTGTTGTGCACTTGGAAATAAATACCTTTCCTCCAACCCATCCACATACTCCTTTTTCCTTTTCCGCGAATCTTGAGCGGATATCTTATTGCGAATTTTTCGTCTTATTCTTTTGAGCTCCCTTTCTTCATTCTTGGTTAGAGGATAATGGCTGGGCAGCTGAATTCCTTCTTTGGAAAGTAACCTCTTCTCTTCATTGTTTAAATTTAATGGAGGGTATTGGTGGTTTGCTCCTGGATGTCTGTCAGAATCATCATCGTCTGAAAATTTTTATTACCTTAGTAACAAATTACTCTAAAGTTTATGGAAGCTAACCATCCTGCTCAATGTCGATAGTTCCAATTTTGCGCTTTCTACCGTTAGATAAGGCGGCGACATCAGCAGAGGAGTTCAGTATTTTGATACTTTTAAAACTCAAAGGCAATAGCACTGGCCGGCCATTATTGGTTATCTGTTGCACCTTCAATATTTGAGGTTTGCCTTTAATAGAAGATTTTCTTAATGCTGAAACAACCAAATATTGTTTTGACGCAAAGAGCACTTTCAATATATAACTCACTAGCATTACTGATGGGCTTTGCAATACATTTCTTATTTGAAGGATTCTGAATCAATATTTTCGTGGCTCTTGGTGTACGCTGAGGTAGAACACCCGAAGCTGGTGATTTTGAAGCAGAAATTTGCTTAGTATCTTGTTGTTGGGTGATAGTATCCAGAAACGATAGTAGAATTGGGTCATCAATGCCATCAATGTTATTTAAAACGGAGGTTCTAAAGTATCAAATAAACAGTTGCAAAATTCGCAAGTTCAGTTTTCACACCAAACTTACGCTTCATTGTCGTTATTTTCTGCACTATATGTACTATTTTTATCACTTTCCGAATAGTAACTTTCAGGTGAAAGCACATCGTCACTATGACTAGCATCACTTGACATGTTATTATCATCTTCAAAGTTTGAGAGAAATCCTTCTTCCAAGTCATTTTCCAGTGATAGAACAGAATCAAAAAATTCTGAACTCTAAAAACAAAACGGTCTTTTGCTTTTTAATAGTACAAACAGTAATCTGTAGCCCTGTAAACCAACAACTGCGATTTACACTGCTATCGAAGTGTTAATGATTAATAAGTCGTGTGGTGCAATTCTTGAGGAAAGACAGTCAACAATGGAGTGTATCTTTAATGTGACTAAAGATATTCAAGATTAATTACGAAATTTTTTAATTATTGCTTGATCAGTGTAGGTGTGTTGTTGTTTGAAACGAATCAAAGTGTTTATTTCAATAAATGACCGCTCTGGTTACTTCTCATAATGATCTTGTTGCCTGAAACAATGAAATGTTAAACATTTGATTAATATCAAAAAAGGCAAAAATAAACATTAACTACCTAACTTTACAAGGTTGTAGATATTTGATTTTGGTTCTGGAAATGCATGATTGTTGACGATCAAAACTGTTATCAGTTTATAAATGTTACTACATACATATGGGATACGCAGGGTATCTTACTCGATATCTTATTATTAAGTTCAGAGCAAACAAATTAAAGCAGGTTAACCTTTAAGCAACCATGAGAACACTACTTGAAACCAATTATCTGCTTACAAAACGTGGGTATGATTAACAGATATTGATTGCGGCACATGGCTTAACTGACTTCAAAATAAAGAAAATGTATTAGTTGGAAATGAGGATAAATCTAATTTAAAAAATGCAATGTTTCTTTTAGTTTAAGATGATAAATAGTCAGTTGGAGTGGTTAAACAGAAAATTGTGAAGAGATTAAAATAATATTAAAGGTTGAGCTATTAGAATGACTAAGGCAGGAGGAACCAACAAAACAATGAATGATCGAGTATAGAAGCGTCTAAAAAGAAAACCGAAAAACAAATCAGAAGCTTGATTGTTAAACCAAATTGGCGGGGATTTTACACATCAGGAAGTTATTAATTGGGCAGCCGGTCAAGCACAGTTATGGATATTTTGGAACATTTTCAAGATGAACTTCGCTCCATCCCGGACGAAACGGACAAAGACCCCCACTTATTTTTCACAGAGGCAGTCAAAGATTTCGAGATATCCCAAAATGGGTCTTGGACAATTCTAAATCGGAACACCACAATTTAATTTGAACAGAAATGAAAAACCGGGCATTTAAGGTTGGGCAAAGAGATACTAAACCAACTAAAATCGCTATTTTTTACATCGACTTATATTTACAAATACTTATGTATTATTAATGTATAAAAATTAAGCCCTTTTATGTACACAGTTACTCTTTTCACATGCATATTTTTACCTAAGAAAATTTCAAATTAGCTAATAAAATTTGCACAAAAAAATGTTTCAATTACTTATAGTATCATTAAAAAAAATTTGTTAAACCGAACAATTCGAAAATCTGAATTTGCCCTTGCAACAGTTAGTGCCGATTACAGAAGTTCTTCTCTATACAGGGTGTCAAAATAGTAAATAGTAAATAATAGTAAATGAATGGCGTTTTTGAGACAATGGGCCGGGGGCATGGGACGTAAAAAAAAAGGTTTATGAGCCTGTGCCCTAAAGTTAAAATGTTCCCATCGTAATGGACTTTCACCCATATTGAATGAGTCAACATGGGTGTATTATTGTCATTGTTCAAATAACAAAGAAACTAGGGAGCTTATGGCTGAAGCATAAACAGAAGTAGTCCTTCTAAGAAAGTCCCTCAATCGGTGTGAATTCTAACAGTAGTTTAGCATTAGACATGCTACCTTTGAAAAATTACAAGTGGCACTTGCCAGAACACAATGGGATTAACATGGAAGTTGGCCTGATGAATACAAGGGTATATTTAGCAGTTAGGGATTAGAATACAAACCATAAGTTCGGTATTGTCATAATTCAACGAGAGGTCCATATTGCCATTCCCTTCTTCACCACATGCCAGGAAAACGTCACTTATATTCATTATTCGGCTGTTTGTTAACTATGCACTTGTTTTCATGTTGAAGCAATCACTATTGGATGAGAAAAATATATTGTTTTGATATATTTTTCACCAATTTCCGGCGAAAATATGGTTAAAACGGCATCCAACCAAGTAACAGCACGTTTGCCAGCGTAGAATCTACGTCACGGAAAATACGCACTCAGATGCAGCATGATATAATAATTAGGGAGAAAGGAAAGGCGTATCATGGCGAAAAGAAAGTCGACTCGATCTGATTTGCTCCAAATTGGCGTTTCACCGCGATAAAATCTACCTCCTAAGACCCACTTATAACTTTTTATTTCGATATTAGTAAATTTTTCAACAAAGTTAGGTTAAATTGATAATTATTGCAGCTTTGCTGTCCCCGATCATTCGCGAAACACTCCGACCGGGCTTTGTGCTTCTCTCATTGATTAATCGTGGATTAATCGGGACATTGTTCGGAGCGGCTAACGGAACAATCCCGTTAGATTAACAGTCAAATTAATGCTAAGTAGGATTCATTTTAGTACGACACGCCCATCGTTACCCATTTCAAATATAAACAACCGACAAAAATAGCAAAAACTATTGACTTAAAGAAAAACCCACATTTTTGAATCGTTTTTGAACAACAATCATTTTTTTTAAACAAATTCAAAAATATCCAATCAAAAAACTGGGATTTAACTACCAGAAAAAAATCACAAACCATAAAATAAATGCATTCTTAATAAATTAAAATTCAACAAACATTCGATTCTCGTGATGAGTGTCGGTACGTGCGACGACGCCTTTTTCTACTGGCAACAGTGGCGAGACGTACTAACCTAAAAGAAAGTTTTCTTCTGTCAGATTAAGATTGATCTGATCAAAGTGAAAATAAAATGTTTAAATTTGAATAAACGCAATGGAAAAATAGTTTTGCCCGGTTAAATAATGAATGCATTATAGCATTTCTTTCCACATCACAAAGACATTTTACTCATAGGTGCAGTATGGCTGGCAATAATGTTGAAATTGAATGGGTTAAAGGTCTAGGAGTCCCTCAAGATTTTGGGGCCACCCTGTCTACAGTTCCGGAAAATCAACCAGGACATTTCGATGAAATTGAAAGGACTCATCTGAGCAGTAGTACACTAAAGGTTTGCATTTTTATATCCTTAGCTGCTTTCCTTAGTACATACTTTTTACTTGTGCAGAGGAACACCAAGATGGAACTATCCAAAAGCGATTTACTGAAATTAGTTACTTGTTTCGAGGGGGAAATTCAAGCTCGAGACATCGTCATTGCAGCATTAAAGGTAAAACCCGGTTAAGAATATTTGCGTCGTTTTAATAGCCATTGTTAACACATCCTTAATTAATTCAGATGCTATACTAACATTCTATTTATATACTGTAAGTACAGTCCAAGGCTTAGTGCGACTCAGACACTACCCATTCTGTATTAATTTTTTAATAATCATTAAATGCTTTTCAGCCAAAACCGCATAATTTTTTATTACTATATACAGGGTGATTCAAATTACCCAGTAGAAACTTGCAAGTTTTGCATTGAAGCCAAAATGGAATAACTTTTGATAATAAGCCCATGTTCAGAAACGTACATATCGGTTTGTTTTCATTGCTAGAATGACGCTAATTCGAGTGGGGTCATTTACAAAATCTTGTGTATCATACTCAACTTTACACAGACAACGATTTAACTCGAACAGTTTTTCCCGGTTTAGAACTACAATGATTTTTTCCACGAAAGGCGAAAAAATTCCACAAAAAAGCGTGAGGTAACTTGTGATTCACTTTACTTAAATACAATACTTTTACCTTATTAACCCTACGCTCCCGCACAAGGATTCAGCATACCTCACCCTGTATAGACAGTCGTTTTTAAGCTTATGCCCGGAATTGGCCAACATACGATTTAAACGCAAAACTCCGACCAGCTAAAAATTCAGGTTTTGCCATATAATAAAATTTGCATTTTATTATTTTAGTCGGAAAGGTTGAAGCAAGTAGCAACTTTAGGCAGGTATAGGCCTAGTGTTATGGCTGATCCATATACTGCTTTGTTGCGAGACAATATTTCGGAAAGCTCAAATGCGAAACCTCCAATAAGTGAGGCGGATATGCAAACAGCCGCAGAACATCAGCTCCAAACTTTAGAACATTTAGTGATGCAACAAAGATGGGCTCATCAGCATATGATTAGCATTTTAAAAGAAGCGGAAATTAAGCATAAAAAGGTTAATCATCAATTTTATTTAAACGTATGTGTTGCTTAAACTTAATGCGAAATCCAAGCAGTCTATGTTGTTGCGAGCACTGTTATAATGTTGGCTTTAAATGTTCAATCATCATCACATATGTTTTGGTGGTTTTATATATATTTCCCGTTCAAAGGTTATCCAAGAATTAGAAGAAGAAAAGTGTAAGCATGAGCATGATACAGCCCAAGGAGATGACATTACATACGGGCTTGAGATGGAACGAACAAGACTGCGGCAGGAACTGGAAATGGAAAGGAATGCTAGAAAAAAATTGGAAAAGGAAGTTAAAAGACAAGTTGAGCTAGCAGATGAAGAAAGGGCTCGGCAAAAGCAAATTGTCTTGTTGCTTTTAGCCGAGAGGAAAAAGATTATAGTAAAATATATCGAAGAACGGAAAAGAAGTGAAGATCTCGCCCAGGTAAAGCACATTAAAAAAGTGGAGCTTACTAGTATTCATCAATGCGCTTATTTGCAGATTTTATCTGAAGAGAAATCACGAATTGATACTATGGCTGAAGGTCTAGAAGAGGAAAGTAAAAAGTCTTTGCAAATGGAGGCAGAAATGGAAAAGCAGGCTCAAGAATTCGAGGTAGAGAGAAAAATTTTTAAAAGCCAACTGGCAGCTAAAGATCAAAGGTATGGCGGTATCCAAATGCACTTTAAATATAAGCTATTGTGTTTTTTTCGTGTTCAGGATAATCGAAATTGAGACTGAAATACATAGGTTAAGAGCTGAATATGATGCAATCAGGACTAGAATTCAGCTGTCGGACAGTGGTACAGCTATCATTAGTAGTGTGGCCAAAGTGGTGCAGCCTACAGCTACTGTTTCAAGTGTTCCTGTCTCAGGACCAAGTAAATATTTTTTGTGATATTTTAGCCTTGATCTATTTAATTTTGTCTTTATATATCCAATATCGTTCAAATAATTTTCAGCTACTGGAATTGCACAGTCTGTTACTCCAGGGCAAGCACTGAGGCAAACAGCCATTGCCGCATCTCCCCCTGTCCCAAACAAAGTAAGATAATAAATATGTTTAATATTTATTGAGATTCTATTGCAATTTGTCTTTTCAGATGAGTGTTGGATTAACAGATTCTTCCACAATTAGAGCCGGTCCTAAACCAGCGTTTCCGCCGCATTTACAACAGTCGACTGCTCCGCAAACGCCTCCTAAAAAAGGAGCCGCTGCAAGAGGAGTTCCTCCTCCTATTCCTCCTAATAAGCCAGTGATTCCTAGCAAGGTGGCAGTGCCTAGAAGACCAGACAGCGGCGAAACCGAAAAGAAGAAGCCGAATGTTTTGCCGAAAGAATCTGATCAACAAACATCGCAACAACAAGGTACAAGAACGGGTCAAGGAATAGAGCTGCTGGGACAAGAATTGGCTGATTTTCAGCAAATGTTTGTAACTATGGCAACTAGCAATAATACTTAACTTTCTTAGGGAATATAAATATAACCTGGTTTGTTGACTTTTGTGGCTGATAACATCATAGCTAAAGGTTATATCGGCCCATCGAAGTCCACTTATTGTGATAAATACTAACTTAGAATTATTCGTGAATTGCATATTCTGATACCTGAGCGTATTCATTTTCTATTTCTGAGTAAGGGCAACATTCGTTGACTGCTGCTGCTTGAGCAGCCAACGAATGTTCGGTGTGCTCTTAAATCTCGGTACTTACAAGTTGTCTTTCAATATCAATGTTTTAGGTATTCAATGAAATCGAAGACTAATTCACATTATAATATTTCCAATTAAAATCTAAGTTTAACATCGCGGGCATGTTTACTTTAGTTAAATGCATATGGTGGCACATTATCGCTAAATAAAAGTAACCAACAGACTGGCTCGATTTATTTAAAAGATATTTTGAAAAATCTATTAGAATAGACTTTTCTATTTTCAATCAGATTGGCATTTATTTATTGTTCGACTATAGAACAAAGCGGTTTATTTAGAAAAATTCCAAAGCATCACAATTTTTAAAATCGACTATTTGAAATTAAATATCGGCATCATGCAACTAGTCATTATTCGTGAAATGAGCAAGTAGATTTATCGTGACTATTATTCCTTAAAATCCTGACAATCGTAGGAAGAAATATGTTATTTCTAAATTCGAGTCGTATTTACATACATACTCAACTTTGGAATTTTGGAACCACAAAACCGAAATCGATTTGCAAAGCGAAGTTAATATGACTGAAGGGACTAGGAAAAATTACAACACCAAAAGCTTGAAGCTAAGAGCTTAATATGATTACAAATTTTCTTTCTCCAAAATATTGGAATCGTTGGGTCTCAGATTGCAAGGAATCGGTATCCCATACATACTGGCTTGATACTTAGTTTATTATAAAAGTAATGTCTTACTTTCAAACACAGAACTTGAACCTTAGATGAATTATGTTTGTACCATAATTTGGTTTATATTCTCCACTAGCATATTTCGTGTATTGTATTTTCGATAATTCCTGATTAGTTGATAGTATTTTCTATTTAATGCCTTCCATGGTTTTCGATAGACGAATCGAAGTGTTTCGATCTATTAACTGTACAATATGCATTACGGCGTATTGAAAAAAAAACTTATTAAATTAGACGTTTCAAAGAACAAAGCTGTATTTGCTTGGCTTATATCATTGTAAAGAATTATATATTACTTCAAAAAATTGCTTTATCTGACCAAAAAAAAAAACGAATCGGTGTAATAAGTGCACCTTTTAAGCCCGGTAAATATGACAATTTTTTTGAAGCCTAGCAAAGTAGTGTAGAGAAATTTTTGAGTAACGGAATAAGAAAAATTATTATAAATTATTATAATGAAACTCCCAAAAACGCTGTTAGTGTTTTAGGTATGTGTTATTTATTTTCGAATAAGTTTCAAATGCTAGATTTGTAGACTAGAAAGTTAAATATATTAATGTTAGTAAGTGACAATCACTGTGTATGAGTATTTCCAACTTGCAGGTCGCGCTTTAAATCACAACGCTTTTAGCTGTAATAAATGGAAGTTTCGATTAATTGATGACGCAGCGAATGAATTAACAATTACTGTAATAAAGTGTGTAATTTACAGGTGTGGTCTTGCGCATTCTACGCCTGGGTAACATTCGATTTTCAGGTGTTGACACAGCGACACCGATACGGCTTGCCGTATTGATACAGCGACACAGCGGTCCACATTTTTTATATGTTGGGAAAATAAAAACAGAAGACGCTATGATTGGTAATGTCTAGTGGTGCAGCGCGTTCAATGTTTTTTCTTTGGTTTTACTGAAGAGAGACTGACAAACGCCGGTTGCTTTGTTTTAAGGAAAGGAATAAATGAAGTGGCAACATGTTTTTTTCTTGTCTCACAAGAATCTGTGATTGGTTTCGAAGCTGCTGGGCCAGCCATAAATTATGACCAAATAACTCTTGTTCCTTTATGTATACAAAACCTTTAAATTAGTTTTTTGGCCTTCGCCGACTGATTTTTCATGCAATTAAGCAGTGTAATTTTGGAAAATTTGATTTTTGGTCGATATTTTTCTAAGGGTAGGGGTCGATTTTTAAGCAGATGAAAATTTTCTCAAACTGTCTTAAATTTTACATCATTTTCAGCTCACGGAAGCGAGGAATGCATCGGACTCATCGAAAATCATGCTAGAAGTTTCAGATGCGAAATAATTATTTCAAATCTGAATATATTCAGAGCCCATTTCGTTCCAAACTGTTGCAAATACAAATTTTCTTATAGACAGTGAATGTGTCGAGAATACACTTTGCAAACAATCTGATGTATTTTGAAAATGAGTTAATAGCGGTAAAATTCGA